CTCAAAAAAAAATTAAAATAATCCAGCACTTGCACTGTAATAATTGGGCTTAAGAATCACTTCTTGCTTTTTAACTGCACTCTGTGGCTTAGTTGCAACGGCGTGGGTCCTGATCAGTGGCGGAGGCTCCTGGGGTTAGACCTGTTAGGCAGCACATTGCCAAAAAGAGGAATCTGTAGCATCTTCTAACAGCTTTTAATGCAAACTCTTTGCAAAGCAGCCTTCAAAGTAAATTTGTTACCAAGACAATGTGTTGAAAAAGTTTGAAGATTAGGTTTGGCCTGGAGGCTTTAGAAGTATCAGAAATTCCTATAAGCTGTCAAAGTTCGTCATGTAGGAGGACGTGTCTTTGGGTATGGCAAAGACAGAGGGTTGGAAACCGCCTCTCTGAGTCAGGTGAGCACTACAAACAGAACATGTAACTGAACTCCAAAGCTTCTGATGCGTTTGCTTCTGAAAATGCTTATGCTCTTTATCATCACGTGCTTTCACATTCCAGTGGTGCCTCTAGCTCACGTCCTTATTTGAAGTTGTCTTGTCGGAGCATATGGTGCTTTCAGTCATGAGCTAATTGGCTAACCTGGGGCTGTTAGCCCAAATCCAAACGCGGCTTCAGTTGGTGTGACGATGCTGGTTGCCCTCTGAATCAGCAGAGAGTGTTCGCTCTGGTACTTCCTCATAATTTTTCATCCTTTACCCCAAAACACACTAGCTTAGCTTAGTACAGAGAACCTTACGAGATGCCTCCAGCATTTCTAATAAAACACACTGGCAGGTTTAGTGCGCTGTGCCTCCTAGACACAGCAAACTGAGCCTGGATTGGCAGTGCAGTTGTTCACATTGGGCTCGGCTAAGCCAGGTAGCAAGACTTCATCCTAAACACCTGTGGTATGAAGAAGTCCTTCATCTCCCTTTGGGAGAGTCTGCCCCTGCCAAACCTTGCACTCATGATTAACTAAATCTACTGAAACTTACCGTATTGGATCCTAAGCTTGGTTTTATGGTTAAACACAGGCCTGTGCGAGTTTAGGGAAGTTGAAGGGATTAGGTGCATGGTTGACTGTGAGCATGCAGTGTTTGCAGGTGGTAGGCTGCACCTCGGAGACATTTGTGCTTTGCTGATTGGAGGAACTGAATGCGATGTGGTTCTTCCTTCCACGGGGTTAAACAGCAAAAGTGAAAGTCACTGGTTAGTGGTTTTGGGCAGACATCCCTCTTGAAACAAATGATGGTGGCTTTGAGAGCTTGCTTCTCACAACCCTGTCCTCGTTGCAGCCTGCTACTGTGGAAGGGAAGTGACAAATTGCATGGCTCTCCTTGTAATTAGCTTTCAAATGGTTTTATTGTAAATTAGTGAGAATGGCAATCATTTCTGAAGCTTTTATAGCCGTGCCCTTGGGTCTGATCATACATATGTTGGAGGCAGGCGCCGCAAGCGGATATTAATTCCATCGCCATTAATTCATAGCGTGCTCACTCAGAGTTTAGACATCCTCGCATGCCTTCAAATGTGTTTGTCCAACCACTTAATTTGAAAGCAAATGTGACAAACAGGTTTTGTGCTGCTTGTCGTCTTGATGCGTTGGAAGTTATTTACGACCTCTGCTTTGGGTTGATGTGATGTGCCTTTCTTTAAGCTCCGTTGCGGGGCTCAGTTCACGCTGTAGAGAAGGAGCGCTGGTTAGTGGTTTTGGGCAGACATCCCTCTTGAAACAAATGATGGTGGCTTTGAGAGCTTGCTTCTCACAACCCTGTCCTCGTTGCAGCCTGCTACTGTGGAAGGGAAGTGACAAATTGCATGGCTCTCCTTGTAATTAGCTTTCAAATGGTTTTATTGTAAATTAGTGAGAATGGCAATCATTTCTGAAGCTTTTATAGCCGTGCCCTTGGGTCTGATCATACATATGTTGGAGGCAGGCGCCGCAAGCGGATATTAATTCCATCGCCATTAATTCATAGCGTGCTCACTCAGAGTTTAGACATCCTCGCATGCCTTCAAATGTGTTTGTCCAACCACTTAATTTGAAAGCAAATGTGACAAACAGGTTTTGTGCTGCTTGTCGTCTTGATGCGTTGGAAGTTATTTACGACCTCTGCTTTGGGTTGATGTGATGTGCCTTTCTTTAAGCTCCGTTGCGGGGCTCAGTTCACGCTGTAGAGAAGGAGCGGCGAGCCGAGCTCCGGTCATCTTTCCCACCGGTGTTGACAGAGAAGTCTTTGCTGTGGTCTTTGCACGAGTGCAGCGGCCATGGCAACTGGCCCCGCGCCCCAAACATTTCTGAGCCGAAGAGTTTTGAAGGCTTCCAAGGCTTTTTTGTGAAGCCCAGCAGAAAATACCTCATCCTGGGCCTCGCACTTAAAGCGATAGCTTCGTAAGGGAGGGTGGAAAACATCTCGTGGCGGCAGAGCCCTGGTAAGCATGTTTTGAGGTCGTTTTAGCAAAACACGGGGTGCGTTTATTTTCTGAAGGCCGTTCTGAGGCTCATGCAATGCTTGGGGATGGACTGTTGGCTGATGACTTCAAAGGAGTTACGCTGAGTCCAATGGCTGTGAATCAGTTTGGCCTATCAGTTTTACTAAGCGGCTCTTTGACCACCTATTCGGTGGACCCTGCTCCTTTGGGAGCTGCTTCTCCCTTTGGCTGCTTACTTGCTGCCTGTCAAAGAACCTAAAAGCTTAAAAAAAAGAGTCCTCCGCTGAGATGATTTGAGCCCTGCTGCCCTCAGTCCTGCACAGACACGTTGTAAGAGAAGGTTTCTGCCTGGGGGAACTTCTAATCTAACCAGGCAGGCGAGCAGCAGAGCGTGCAGGGAGTCCCCGCTCCGTGCGCAGGTGGGCAGCTGAAGCACGGCGAGATTCAGGCCAGCGCTTTGAAGGCGCTGTGACCACTAAGGATGCCCACAGGTGCCCCGTGGGGGTTTCAGTAATTCTTAATAATTTCAGTGAAGCTGGAAACGTAAATGCATCTGCAAATCCTACCGGGCCCTTACCTGCTGCTTTAGGTGCCTCTTTTGAAATCTGACCTGCCGTGGTGGAGGAAGTTGGTGGCACGCTTCCCACAGCTCAGGCCTGACCGTGTCCCTAGGACATGTGTGCACCTGTCCAGAAGATCGAAAGCTTGATTAGCCGTTCCTGTTAAAGAAAGCTTACCAGTTAGAGTGGCCTTGTGGCCTTGTTTACATGTTTCCTTGTTCTCCAGAAAAGGGAAATGCCCTTGGGTTACCTGTTGCATCTGGATCTGGCTCATCTGTTCCAGCAATGAGAGCTGGGTTTTTTTTGTTTTTTTTTTTTTTGCTGGTTGAAGAGACACTGAGGAAGGTGCACTGAGACATCTGCTAACCAATAATATGCAATGCAAGTGGCTAATTCTCAAAAGAAGGGCTGGGACAGCTTTTCAGCCTACTTGTAATTGCTAAGCTAAGAAAAATTTCTTTTTGCTGTCTGACCGCAAGAGGCTATGTTTTCAGCAAGGCCTGTTTTTTTTTTTTTTTTTTCCCCTCTCTCTCCCTGGTCCTCTCTTACGAAAGTTTGCAGCCTCAGTGACTTTATCTGCCGAGATATTTCCATATTTTTTCCTATAATCCGACGTGGATGTTTTTTGGTTTAGCACTCCTAGTTTCTTGACCTTCCCTGTAGCTTTAGCATGCAACTAGCATTCGGCGGCAGCTCCCACAAAGCGGTTAAAAACCAAGGTAACAGCAACATTTTGAGTGAAGGGGATGAAATGTGGGATAGGTTCAGCGTATTTCTTTGTCATGGTTGGAGTCCTATTCAGTCTGAAGCTGAATAGTAGGGCGATTAGCATGTGGAAGCGTTTCTAAAGCGTTGGGCTATGAGGGTTTTTTTTTTTTTCCTTAAAGGAGAAGTTTTGTGGTGGGTATGTTCCTGACTGAGCTGGCATGAACCTCTGTCAAATGGAAAACCACAGGAAAGTCAGAGTGTGTTTTAGAGAAAGCCTGTTTTGATAAAATCGCTGCATGCAGGGCTACAGAAAAGCTTTCCAGTGCCCGGAGCTGTAAAAGCTACTGCAGGGGCTATGGGTACAGCATTTTTTAAATGGTCAGTAGAGCAGTAGGGTAGAGTCTGACCGTGGGACACACCACAGGATTGTGAATATGGACTTTGCTCTCATTGAGGTCAACCTGCAGAACTGGATATCGCCTCTAAGAGTGCGGGATTGGCTCCCCAGTCTGAAAATCCACCTGCTCAAATGCTCAGCGGTATCTTGCTTTCTCGGGGAGAGATGCGATGCTGAGGTTTTTTTTTTTTTTCCCAAGCTGCTGTTGGCTTTTTAAACGTTTACAGTGAAATCACTTCACGGGCTAGGCTGGTTTCAGAGAAGAGGGTTTGTTTTCCTCCTGCCTGGAGGTTGCTTATGGCAAGAGTGGGGCTCGAACCCCCGGCCTCCTGCCTCAGCCCCCCCTCCCGTTGCTCCTTGTGGCGTGTGAACGGACCGGGCTCTGTGCCTGGGTTTCTCCAAGGAGAAGTGATGCCTTGTCTAAATTTCTTTCAATTATCCCAGTTTGGGAGACGGGGGGAAAAAAAGTGTCTCTCCCTTTCACTGCTGTCTCTTAATGTAGACTATTGAAGGCTGATTAAAGCTGTTGTTTAATTAAGGAGTGCTTAGCTCCTCTGGTCACAATTACAGGATCGTTTGAAGTAATTCTGCAATACTTTCTTTTTTTCACCTCTCTCTTCTTTCCCTCTCTGGTAACGGGGGGGGGAAAAAAGTTGTGAGCAAAACGTGCCCCAGCACTGAGGTTTCGAAAGCTATTAGAGGACCACAAACCTGCTGGCGAACCTCCCCGCTGCCAAGGCATCCGAACATGAAAAAGCGCTGCGGAGGGGTGGGAGGGAGTTCAATCCTGGGATACGGCGCTTTGGAAGGGCAACCCAAACAAAGAGGCTTTTCAGCAGAGGCTGAGGCTTTGGCTCCTCTCAAGAGCAGTTGGGGCTCGGGGCGGCATCCGGGAGCCCGAGAGAGGAGCCGGGCTACGCGAGATGGATGCGGAGCAGTGTAAGGTTTCCCCGTGCAGCGCGGACTTGTGTTACGGGCTGGGGAACGGGCTCCAAGCGCTCATCTCTCACTTTTTTTGACTTTTTTTTCCCCCCCCCCTCCCTTGCACTTCTGTTGGAAACAGAGGGGAGGATTTTGGCTTTTTTCTCTTTTAATTTATTGTTTTTCCTTTCCTTAATAGTATATATACATACATACATACATATATATTTTAACAGCTTCCCTTCCCCCTGTGCCACCTGCCCGGCAGGCTTGCAGATGCCTCCCTGGAGGCATCATGGCTCATGGAGGGAGGCCCCTTGTGACAAACCCCTTGCTGGGGTCCCCAGCAGGAGGGTGAGGAGGGCCGTTTCTCTTCCGAAATCACCCCTCGCTCTCAGGCTCCCTGAGGGTAGTAAGGCAGGCGGAGAGCCGAAGGGTGCTGGGGGCACGGGCACCATGTAAATAAGTATCCGGCTCAAAGGGAGAGAGTGGTAGAAAAAGGAAAGGGATGCCAGCACACCTCCTCCGTAGCAGGAGGGATGAGCAGTGGGGTCCCCGTGCACCGTGTTCCCGCTGTTGTTGGGGCAGGGAGAGTTTCCTGGTGTGCACAAGGCAGCCTCCATCCCTCACGGTGGCACCTCTGAGTGCCACCGCCCTCTCCAGAAATGCCAGTAAGTAATATAACAGGGAGGAGGTGCTACCAACCATCTCAACAAACCGGTGGTTGGTTTTTCTTTTTCTTTTTCTTTCTTTTTTTTTAAATAGGCACCAGATGGTTTTAATAGATGAAAGCTGAACTTCTTATGACCCTTCCCTACAGACATTGTTTGTTGTTTTGTAATTGTGGCCAGGACAAAACCATGTCCCAAAACCTGCAAGTGAGCGCGAGAGCTTCATATTTTGGTATCTTCTTCCATCCTTGCTGAGTAGCTCCCCTTCCCACCCCCACACTCCTCCTTTCTCTGGCCTTCCCCTAAATTTTCCAGGAGAAGCTCATTGGCATAAAAGACTTGAGGCTTTCAACCAGTGCCGGTTAAACGGATTAGCGAGAGTACAAATTGGAGAAAACCGAAACATCTAAAAGTAAAGCACAAGGAAGCAATAAAATGTCAAGCTGTGTTTTTCCATCTAGTTTATTAAAAATTCTCATGATAAGCAAGAAAGCTTTCATGACTGGACAAGACCTGTATCCTGTCAAATGTATTGAAAGGTTTATTAGAAGGATAAAGAATTGCAGGCATTGGGTTGTACGAGTAGTCTGCTGACATCAGCAGCCCTTTTGGCATTAGCTGTTCCGGCAGGGTTAAAGTCGTTTTGCAATGGCCCAGGAGCAGAAAGTGAAATGGGGAAACTGCCCTGCAGAGAGTGAAAATGCAAACATATGAGAATTGAGGTGTTTGGAAGCGAGGGTGGGAGACATGGGCATCTGCATTCTTAAAAACTGTCAGAAAACAGATAAACTGTGGCTGGAGAAAAAGCTGCAGGAGAAAGCTAAAGGAAGAAGAGCAAAAATCTTACCAAATTGCTGCTAATGAAGATCCCTGGGTGTTTTGCATCTATCCATAATGCATCCCAAACCGTGATTTTTTTTTTTTTTGAGTCCATAGTTGTCCTCTGGCTGGCTCCTTTGGGAGTGATGTTCATCAGGGCTGACCATTTCTGAAAATTCCCTCCTCACTCCCCGTATGCTCAGTTTCATTTCTGCCCAGGGGCATCAAACTTCCAGTAAATCTAAAATAAAGATTAATGGAATTTCTAGATACTTAGGAATGCAGAAACAAGCTGTTATTCCTATTTCCTTTCATTTCTTCTCCAATGAGGTTTGCTTCTTCAGCAGCACATAGGAAAAATTGACTTTGAGCATATGCTGAAAAATCCTGCACTTGGCTAACCTGCCTTGGAGTTCAGAGCACATATCTTGGGGCTCCCAGCTACAGTGTTGATAACTTGCTATGGGTTTAGTGCGGCACCCGGTGAAACCAATGGAAACTTTTCCTTGACTTTACTCCTCTTTGGAGAAGGTACAAAAGAGCAGGATTGGCTCTTTTGTGGGTTTGAAGACAGAAGGAAATGTTTCTGTGTGCTCAGGAGAGCCAGAACTCAGTCATCCAGGCTCATATTGGCAATGGGACCTGTGTATCTGACCTGGAATTACTATCAACCACTTCTTGCACCGTTTGCAGTGTCCTCACGCTTACCTCTGCCTTGGGAAGTTCCAGGGGAGTGAGGTGGTGGGACACGTTGCCAGTGCCAGCTTGCGTTTGGGGTGGTGGGACACGTTGCTGTGCTGGCTTGCGTTTGGAGCCTCTGACAGTCCGTTTCCTTTGAGCGTTTCATATGAGACCTGCAGGACTAAGGGCTGTGCCTCCGCTGAGCGGCAGCTGGCACTATCAGGCCCATGGGGAGTCCAAGGGCTTGACCATAGCAACGCTAATCAGTTGTTAGATATACGTTATCGTTTTTCCATTCTCTCGTTTCCAGCCTTCCTATAGATTCCCACTAAAGGCATCCGGAAGAGGCTGCCTCTGAGCTAGGGAGAAGGAGACCGAGGTCAGATGCGAAACCGATTTTTTGGGTCCCAGAGGTCGGTGTGGGTGGGAGCGGGAAGGGGAGCTCGTGAGGACGGCGACAGCATGGCCTCTCAGCAGGCTGTGTTCGTGGCTGGGAGCTCACAGACGGGAGAGCTCACTGCCCTGCTCATGTGCGCCGCGTCTCGCAGTGCCTCTGCACGTGGCTGGTGAAGGAGGCCACCGAGATACTGCAAACCAGGGGAGTGTCGTGGGGAAGGGGGAGGCGAGGGCTCGAGCTCGAGCTCTCTGTGGGAAATCCAGCGGTGGTGGCAAGCCCGTGGGTTGGAAACCTGCCCTTCAAAGCTGGTAGGCTTTGAGGAGAGACACCTGCTCAAAGGCAGTAACAAGAGATGTTGCAGTAGGCTGGTGGCATCTAGCTGAGAAATTGGTCGCTGTCTTGCTGTTTGAGGAGCAACCACAAGACAAGAATTAAAATGCAGGAGAATAAAACGTTCACTTCCGTACCATTGTGCTCGACTTCCCGCCGTTTGGATTGCCAAGGATTGCGCCAGGAGCCAGCTGGCTCTGAAGGGGCTCGTATCTGAAGCGACAGAAGGGCTTTTTGGTCTGAGGATCCAATAAGTAGTATACTTGTCTCTGCAGTAGCTGCAGCTATGTACACACTCCTCCCCCCAAAATAAATTATCGCTTTCAGATACCTGGTTCCTCAGCTGCTGTGTTGCCAGGTGCTGTTAAAGCTCCTGCTGGCACCCCTTCACTACCCGTGATGTTCAGAGGGGCAAAAGCAGCAGGACTGGCAAGCATGGAGTGTAAACGGTAGCTTAATTGTAGAGTTTGGGTTTTTTTTTTTTTCCTTGCAGCAGAGGAGTATGCCTTTTACACAGAGAAAATACATTAAAAGGTGATTGAAGGTGGAAGCCCTCAGCGGGGTTAAGGGAAGCAAAAGGGAAGTGATGGGCCGTTCAGTGCCAACAATCCAAACGGGCCAATTTTTAAAACGGGTGTCTTGCTCTGTGAAGCAGTAGCGAGTCTGGACGTCTTGCAGTGCGGGAGAGCCATCCTCGTTTCGCAACCATTTGCTAATCCCCCTTTAGCCACCGAGCAGCTCTCTCCGTGCATGGTGCGAGTTAGGGGGCAGCCTTGAGTGCTGGGGGTTGAAGGCAGCGATGATTTGGGTTAGGAGAAAAAGACTGGGCTGATCCTTGGGATTGTGAGCAAAAACCCCTTAGGTTCCCTGGTGGGGAGGCCGAGCTCTGGCTGTGCGGCCGGGATGCGAGTGAGGAGGCATAGAGGGAAGGAAGGAGGCTGTGCTGGAGGCTCTGGTGCTCTGCACTGAACTTCCCAGTAGGGCATAAAGAAAGTGGCCTGGCAGCCCTGTTCCCAGGGACACGTTCACCTCCAGGAATATAAACAGTACTGAAGACTCAGCGCAAGCATGGCATGCCCACGAGAGGGGAGCTGCGAGATGGCTGGGGGTAGCGTTAGGGCCTGATCCTTTGGTCCTTGTTCAGGCAACGCACCTCGTGCATCTCTATGGATGCTGCGCCAGGAAAAATGGCATGACCAATCCCACCCGTGCGTGGCCTGTTTGCAGAAAACTTGGGGCTGGACAATAATGGTTTTCCTGCCAGAACGTTTATACGCTAACTGGAGAAGAGAAAAAAGCTGGCTTAAAAGGATGAATGCGATGGGTGGCAGCTAGGTTGTATAAATCTTGACTCTAGCTACCTGTGAATCATCCAGCAGCATGTTAATTGGTGCCCCTCGATAGATTAGGATTTGGCATCGGGTCTGCATGTCATTACAAGTCCCTCGCAGGAGGACACAGGCAGCTAATGAACTCCTGCCAAACTCCAGCTCGGCTTCTGAGGCTTTTGAAGTTGGCTGGTCTTTCAGCGTTTTGTATAGTAAGCCCTGAAAGGCATCAAATCATTCCTTTGACAGGATTTAAAAAGGGCTGGTTTGTTGAATAACCAAGTCCTCCAAACTCCAACCTGAGAACTAGAGCATCCAGAGGCAGCTTACTAAGCGAAGCTGCAAACAGGCTGGAAGTAGAAGACACCCCCTGCAAGTTCCTGAGACCTTGCCTGGGTGACGGGAGCCTGAGATACTTTGGTTGCCATGAGGGTCTTCCAGGAGAGAAGCTATTTTCATTTAAGAATCATTAAAAGCAAATACACCACCAGCATTAAAAAAAAAAAAAAAAGCCTTATCAGAAACATAAAAGTGCTTAAAATAGAGGTCTGTGCAAAGTCAGTAGCAGCGTGGTCCATGTATCTGGGATGGCGTTGGGAAGTAGGCAGTGGAAAGCCTTTCTACTTTTCCCACGTGAGGCAGGAACGGGAGTTTTAATGAGCGCGGGGAGCTGCGTTGTGCGGCGCTCGCTTCGGGTGCTCGTGGTGCTTTTCTGTCGGCGCGGCGGCGTTTGAGCAGGGCTTTGTTCCCGCGGTTAGGTTTCAGCTGGAGCACTTCTCCTCCTCTTTTCAG